TGCATGTCGCATGCCGTCTTCCACGTCCGCTCACTGGTAGGACAGAAGAGAAAACCACCTGTGCACCTACCTCTTTCAACACGCCCCCCAGAGCATGGTAGTCCACCATCAGGCGATCAGGGCTTCTCCTGGCCACATCATTAGTACCCACATGGATTAGGACCATGGGGTAGTAATCGGTGGGCTAGATCACAACCTGGATCATCCCCTTCATGTCCTGAATCTTTGCTCTGGGTAGGCAGTAGACCTTGCGTGTCAAGGGGTCCTGGCGACAAATGGGGCCCTCTGTACCTCTCAGGATGAAGTCGCCTATGACGATCACTCGACACTTTTTCCTCCTGGACTGCTTAGCTTCTTCGGCCTGCTTGGATCGTGGAGAGTGTGGAGTTGCCTTCTCTCCGATTGCCTCCTCTCCTTCCTTCTCCTACAGAGTTGCCAGGGCCTTGTACAAAAGCAGAGACTTGAGATTAACAAAGGGTCCTTCCCTTTGTTCCATCCCTATCCCTGTCCCCCAGGAAGGGTCCCCAAGGCCACCATGGACTGAGGTCATACCAGCAGCCCATCTCAGGCATCCCACTGAAGAGGGGCTTTGGGCCTTGGCATCCCACCTCCAGACTGCTGACACCTAAGAGAGAACCTCAGAGTGGAGCCTGCATCCTGACCAGGTGTACTTTGACTCTGATGACAGCCCTAGGATTGGTAGATATAGAATTGTTTGATTATTTATATTGTTACTTTTTTGTTCTTACTCTGTATCAATAAATTCACCTATTATCACCTGGCAGGTGCTGTGGTTGGTCTGAGGGTTGTGCTTGCCCAGAACAAAAGTATAGGGGCTGGTTCCTAAAACTCAGTCCAAGTGGGGGATACTTAACTGGTTAAATCAGCATGGTCAAAAAGCAATTCTCAATATCTCAGTGTCTAACTGTAAGTAGGTCTGTCTTGGGTCCAGTTCTACTTAGTATCTTCATTAATGACTTGTAGGATGGGACTGAGTACACAGTTAGAAAATATGCATATAACACCAGTAGTTCAGAAAAGGACCTGGAAGCTGCAGTGGCTTGCAAACTGTGAGTCAACCACGTGTGCTCTTGCCACAAAAAAAGCAAATCACATACTGCAAGTGAAAGGAAGTGATTCTTCTACTCCATTTGGAACTGGTGAGATGTCAGCTTTTTAGGTGTTCAGTTTTTGGTACTACACTTCAAAAAAGGTATAATACATTGGAATTAGTGAAGAGGACAGCTGCTAAAATGATTGGAGGTCTAGGATGTATGACTTATGAAGAAAAGCTGAAAGAACTGTGTAATATTTAGTTTGGAGAAAAGAAGACAGGGGGATAACAGTCTTCATATACTCTTATGAAGAGTGGCAGTAAACTGTACTCTTTGGTTGCAGAGTACAGAAAAAGAAGTAAAAAGAGCATAAACTGCCCGAATCTCCAAATCTCTCTGAAGCTCTCCAAACCTTTTCCAAATTGATTCAGAGAGCTTGGAATCAATTTGGACCTTTTTATTGGTCTCCCGATTTGATTCAGATTCGAAGATTTGGCTGCCGGATTGGGCCGAATCTTCTCTTAATCGAAGCAGCACCTGAAGCTTCGCACAGCCCTAAAAATTACATTACTTGGGTGCCTTGTTGTGTATTTCAAAATATAACGTCTCTCAAGTGGTCAACAGCAGTAAAAGATACCAGGTTCTAGAAATCTAGGCCACCTCTTTTCAAATGACTGTAGTATTTTGAGCTAGCATGCAGAAACTGAAACTTTCCTACAAGAGATAATGCGGAGGACAGCTTCAGAGCTCAAATGAATTCTAATGAAATACTGCCTTCTCAACACCTTAATAATCTCTAAACTGGATTAGTTTGTGGCATCTCTCAATCTGATCATGCAAGCGTCTCCCTTGGAATCAGACACAGATATGTGGTCTACTGTATAGTGATCCTAGGTATGAGTCAGGTTTGGTGGAGTGGGTTTATTGTTGCGGTAAAGGGACTATTTGGGACCTCTGGGACATTCTCACCAGCACACTGAAGGAGAAGTAGACTATTGCAAAATATAAAGACAAATACAGACATATTATACTTGTATTTTCCTAATGTTTTGATTGTGTTCCCTCTCCCCTAATAAATGTTCCTGTTTTTAAACACTTTTGGAGTGCTTCCAAGTTGAGAGGTTCTGCCTGGTTATGGCATTCAGGATGGGCAAATTTAGCTTTCCCAGGTTTCTGTGTAAGGTCATGAGTCAATTTAGGTATTTGCCAAAAGCGGTTTTAAATACATTTGGATATAACACCTTTTACTGCTATTAACCATCTGGCTGTTAAACAAATATTAAATAACACTAATAAGCAGCTCTCCTGGTATGATCTGAACTGTGTATGGTGAACTTGGTCTTGCTAAAGAAGACAACAATAAACTCCAGATAATACCTCTATATAAGCACACAGCTCACATGAGAAAACGGACAGGTTAAGTTACATGTGTTTGCCAAATCTCAATGACTTTTGAGACAATTAATACATTATATTTATGAAGCAGATGGTCATGCATCTAAAAGGCAAATCAGAAAACCTTCTAGGGCCTGTGGGGAACAATACTGGCTATAGATATGAGGGAGATTAATATGTTGCTGCTGTTCTATTCAACATTTACCATTATTTATTTAAAAGAAGTAATTGCTATTTGCAAGAGACCTGACTTACCCATCTATCCCACTTCTGTAATTTTTTCTGGGAGAAATAGCATTGTAAGCATTATGTGTCAAAGAAAGTTTAAGATTTTGAAATGTAGAAGGTTGAAAAACTGAGCATGTATAATTATGAGATAGAAATGTGAGGAAGAACTTCAGTCCATTATCTATCTGTTCTAAAGAATTATGAATCCTGTGTTCTACTGTGAGGCAAGTCACTCAGATGTACTTCTGTGCTTTTTATGTTTATCCCGTGATTGATTCATTGTTTAGCTGAGCTAAACAAAAGGAGCAATTATATCAGTGATCAGTTTAGTCATACTGGATCCTTTATTTCTTTGTAAATTTTTTCCCCTCCTTTTGAATTCCCTACAGTACGCTTTCTGGCAGTGAGGCATCCAAAGCCATAAGCAGCATTCTAGTTATGGTTTCACCCATGTTATTTAGACAAAGATCATTGCTTCTGTAATCTGTAATATGATGTTTCTCTCTGTGTGTTGCTTAATTTCCCATTTTTGTTATTCTTTTTTTCCTATAACCTCCTTTTTGTTCTGTCACAAAAATCACTGTGAGTGGTATTTCACTCATTCCAATAGATTATCTCCATCCTTCTGAAGAATACTGTAGGTAGAAAATGGCCTCTAAAAATGCTCTTCCCAAGGTATGTTCGAAGATTATTTTGTCACTTCCCATCCTTATGTTTCCGTTATCATAAACACTCAAAGAACAGGTTTGATGGTTTCTTCATGTTTTCAACTATCTCTTTATTATCAGAATCAAATAGGTCTTGTAAAGCTCTTTACATCATACATTCTGCTCCCTAATATTCATATGTAGTCTGCTGGTTCAGCATATCTACAAAATACAGCTACCTAATGCCTTTGGATTTCCACAGAAATAAATCATTTTTTGAAAATAATTGCAACCCCTCCCCCCCACTCAGCTCAGTGAATCTGTGGGATATCTGATGGACAGTAGCTATACAGCTAATGCTGGAGAAGTTTTAATCTTATGGAGAGCAGAGGAAGAACTAACACTGTTTTCTGTTGCCATTTGATGAGGGGCAGATAGCATGTATATAGTCTCAGGTAACAGATGCCTGTAAAGTAACTGCCAAAACCTTATGGATACACTGAAACGTATGTTACTAAACCTCAGTGAATTAACAAAAGCCAAACTCCAGAAACATACAGAGAAGAAGTGTCAGTTGCTGGAAGTGATTATGGAAATCATCCAAAATGGATATTAGAATTTCTTCCTAGGTAAAATTTATGTATTGAGTGTCTGTTTATATGTTCTGCTAGATTGTACTGCATCAAAAGACAGCACTTTCTGAACTAAATTATCTTGTGCTGCTGTTCTGCTTTAGTGTTAAGGGTAGTTAGCTGTTGTTAATAAAGACAGTTCCCTTGTACTTCCCTGCATGCTCTCTCTGGGACAAGAACTGTACAAATACACAATACTGGTGGTGAGGATGGCATCTCAGTGAGTACAAAGCTTCAAGTGCTTCAGACAAAAGACCATAGAGAAACTTGCAGTGATCCATGATGCAAGTAAGCAGAGGCTGGGCTCTTCTCCTCCCACTTGCTGTCCTGTGCAATTGCTCTCTAACAGGACTACTTTGGGCCAAACTGAAGAATTTGATGCATCCAATCTGATCACCTGGGACAATAGACTTCTGTCTGGAAGCTAATAAGATTACTGATGATAACCAGAAATGTTCAGTGATACCGTGAATCCATCATAGGCCACTTCTATCATACCCATCATGAAGCCAAATGGTGATATTATTATGTGTAGACTATAAGTGCACTATGAGGAACATTTGCAGAGGGATACTGCCACCCCAGCACCTGGTCCCCTTCCCACCATGATCCAACCCATATTATTTTACTTGTTGTTGAAGGAAGCTGGGAGTAACCTCACTAGTCATCTTGTCTGCCCCATCAAGCCAGGCCCACACCTGGGGCCTGTGCTCTCCCCCTTGAGTGCTCCCCTTTAAGAGAGTGTTGTTTCGCTTTAAGCTGAAACAACAATGTCTCTGCTGTTGCAACCTTGGTCCCTCTTTCTCCGGCTGCACCTTCAGCCTTGGTCCACTGTTAAAGATTTCAGCTTCCAAGTATCAGTCCTACCTTGGTAGTAGCCCTTCCTGGAGTTCCAGTCTCACCAACCTCTCTGGCTTGGGGCTGGCTTCTGGTATCTATAGCAGGGGAGTGCTGCCCAGGATCACCCTGTAGCTACATCCAGTCCTCCAAACACACAAGCCAGCTGCTTCACAAACAGTCTCCCTGCCTCGGGGTAAATGTTGCCTTCAGGCCATACCTCCATCAGAGCTGCCGCGCCCCAGCTCCCCTGGGCCACTGCCGGATTACGACAGGCTGAGGCTCTAAACTACATCTAGTTTAAGAGGCCCCATATGATAAAAATAATCCAATGTATGTATATTTTTGTCATATTAGAATGAAAATGTCCATATTTAGAGTCATTTTCCTATATCTCCTTTATATCCTTTATTTACCAACTAATTATTATAAAACTTCATACTTTTTTTTTTTCTTATTTAGAGGTCCCTCATATTGGGAGGCCCTAAGATGTCTCTTAAGTAGCTTAAGCCTAAATCCAGCACTTCCCTAGGCAGTTGGGGTTCCTGCCTGCCCACCTCCAGCAGCCCCTCTTTCCCAGAAGCTCCTTTCCCTGACACATGCAGGGGCTACCCCTTCTAAGTACAGACACTGCATTTATATCCTCAAGCCCAGCTTGCTTCCAGCCATGTGACTGGATCTGCTTCACCTTGGGACCAGGTGTGGTTAATTGCCTCCTTAACCACTGGGCCTTTTTATTTCTTGACAGTCCATATGGGCTACCACTCCTTGCTGCCATTTCTGGCCCCATGTTTCTTACTATATCAGGCCTGGGTCTCCTGGGGGACTTCAATCATCCTGATATCTGCTGGGAGGGCAATATAGCAGTACACAGGCAATCCAGGTAGTTTTTTTGAAGAGTGTTAGGGACAATTTCTTGGTGCAAGTGTTGGAGAGGCCAACTAAGGGCTGTGCTCTTCTTGATCTACTGCTCACAAACAGGGAAGAATTGGTGGGGGATGTGAATGTGGGTGGGGTGGCAACTTCGGCAGTAGGGCTGTGCAAAATTTCAACGCGTATTTCGTTTCAAAGCTGTTTTGATACATTTTGAGCTTGACACAGCAAAATCAAAATGAAACAAAAGGCTTTGAAACAGCTTCCAAATGAAACGAGGGCACTCGAAACATTTTGAAAGTTTCAAAAGGTTTCAAGTTTTGAAGCCGGGCTTGCTGCAGCTAAACAGAGTCTAAGGAGAGGGAGGGGGAAGAGGAGGGAAGGACTGCTGTCATATATTGATATCTTGCTTCCTGTTCAATTTCCCAGCTCTCTGATCACTTCCCCAAGCTCTCTGGTCATTTCCCCAGCTCTTCCAATATCTGCATGGGGATTCAGCAGACTGCCACTGAAACTGCAGAGGCAGCCTGCTGAAGCCCAGCTCACACCCCCCAGGAAGATCAGGGGGAATTCCTCAGAGAGCTGGGGAATCAAATAGGGGGTTGGGGAATCTAACCAGGAGCTGGGGGAATGTCCAGGTCCAGAACATTTCCTCAGTTCCCAGTTGGATTCCCCAGCTCTTTCTGCGGGGTGCAGGCCCCTGGATGATGCAGGATGACAGCAGGCTGCCACTGCCAGCTGAGAGAAATGCTGGGTGCAGCCCATGCTGAGTGCTGGGAAGCCTGGTGCTGCTGCTGGCCCAAGCCGGCAGTGGCAGCCTGCTGTCATCCCATGTGCAGATCTGGGGGCCCGTGCTCTGTGGGAGGGCTGTGGGGCTGTGCCAGACTCCTCCCAGGGGGCACGGGCCCCCAGATCTGCACACAGGATGACACCAGGCTGCTGCTACCAGCTGGGACTGGCACTGGGTTCAGCCCATGCCAAGTGCCGAGTTTTAAGGCAGCTGTTCACAACTCATGGTCTTCAAGATATGTTTGTGTGTGACAATGCTGCACAATTCATTTCTGAATAACTTAATATGTTTATAAGAGGAATCTTATTTGTCACACCATATCCACACCATTCCACCAGTCATCAAATGGTCAAGCCAAGCAAATATTCCAAACTACTGAAGATGCTTTGATGTGATTCTCCGACGGTGACTAGAAGCAACACTAGCTAATTTCTTACTTCAGCAGCATGTAACTCTATTCACTGGTACAGGTTGCAGTCCTGCAGAACTACTACTGAACCCCCAGCTGTAACCTTGCTTGTATAAGCTCCACCCAAATATGATAGCCAGAAACCAGACAAGGCAAGAAGTCCAGTTCTTCAAGAAACAAAATATTTTACCTGTAAGAATCTTTGAACCAGAGGGACCTGTGTACATCTGAAACTACATGACTGGGCCACAGTGAGTGACTGCATTGGTCCTTGGAGATACAGAGCCTGTATCCTATGAAATCCAGACTCCAGATGGAAAGACACTTTGAAGGCACATTGACCAGATGCTGGGTTGAGTGTCAGCAATATGACCTCTGCAACACCAGAAGATGTTGCACCGCTAGTGAACCAGTTGATGAGTCTATAAGTTGCTGTATTGTGTATCTGTGCATATTTTAGATGTAAAGGTTAATTTTCAGCTTCAGTTTGCAAGAGGCTGGGTTTAATGACCTTACACAAACAAATTTGTTTGTTTTTGTCATATAATTCTCTAACATGGCAATAATGTAAATTCAACTTGATATGGGCAAACTATAAGCTTGATATAGGCAAGCTTACTAAAAATCCAGATACATCTTCATATGTAATTCAAACATTTTTGTTATGTTCCAGCCCACTGAGCCATTCATCCATGTCAGTCTCTTCAAACCTTCAACTTTACCGCGGTAGCTTGCTACTTTTTAGATCCCATTTTCATACGTTTTCTTATATCTCCCCCAACAAAATGTGTCTTATTTTAGTAGTATAACAACCATGTATTTCATTATGAATTTATGTGGTTCCTTTCAGTCTAGGCTATGTATTCATTCTGTGATGGGAACTGTGAATTCTTATGCCCTGTAGGCATATGATTTAGCTTGGGACACAAAATCTCAGAGTAAACAAGAATAAATAAAAATTGAAAATGGAAGAATGTAGATAATAGCAGACAGAACTAGAAATAGAAAGGCAGAAGGCCAGAGGGGTTTGCAAAGAGCTTGGAGGAAAATCACATAACTTTGTAAGTAGTCTATCTTTTTGTAGTTTAATGCAAATTCTTTTTCTGATAAAAAATGTCTCTTTGTTTTCAAGAGTTCTAAAGTTAGCACTTTACCTGACACAAAATAACAATTCCAGGAAGCTGCAGTGTCTGAGATATAATTATCTCCACAGCCTCTGACTTTTGCGGTGGTTCTGATTTTACTGATGTCGTCCATCTGATTCCACTGAAATTTTAAACCATGATCTAAAAAGGCCTTTAAAACTACTGATGACTCACAAAATACTTCCAAGGCAATTAAATGCATATTACCAGGGCCTATACACTGATTAAAATGATTGACACTATAATAAATGTCTTAGATTGGTAGGTAATTTAGTGTGCTATTCTGCAAGGACTTATTTACGGGTGTAACTTTCATTATGTAAGCAACCCCAGTGAGTTCAAAATTATTCACATATATGAATCTTTACAGTTGATATACTGTTCAAATAAAGCCCTTTGTTCATTTATGTATCTGTGGAGCACCCGATACTCTTCTGACACAAACTATGTAATTTATAATAACAACTATGGTCATGGATGACTGGTGCCTGCTGAAACTGGGGGGGGCACAATTTTTCAGCGGCAGGGTTGGCAGCGGGGTGGCAAATGGCAACCACCCGCAGAAGCCAGTGGTGGTATCGGTGGTGGTGGCGGTGAGCGGTGACCACTTGCTGAAGCTGGCGGTGGCGGCGAAGTGGGGGGAGTGGTGAGTGGCAACTGGGCACTGCTGTCACTGCCGGCTTCTGCGGGCAATCTCAGGGGGTGGGGCACGAGTTGCCTATAACTATGTTATAACTGAAGAAACTGTGGCACAATGACATCAAATGTTTTGACAAACATCAGCAATAAAATGAGTGGTTGATCCAGGAAGACTACTAATTTTTTTAAATCCTACAGGATGAATTAATCACAATATGTTAGGAACATAATACTGGAAAGGCCTCCTTCACCATTGGGCCTAGTCCATGATCAATGAATCCTTCCCCCATCCTCATTTTCTTTCATATTTTGGAGCCCTTACCTATTTCCCTGTCTCTAAATCCTCTCTAAAGATCCAGCTATGCTGATGACAATAAATAACAACAATAATAGTAATAATAATAATAATATCATTGAAAGGATCTCCTGGGTCATCCAGCCCAGTCCTCTGATGTATTATGTCATATGGATCCAGTTCATGGTTAGTTTATGCCATTGGTCCTTGGGTTAATATTGTCTTTTAGGCTAAATAACCATTTACCCTTTGAGATATTAAACCTAATTAAGTAAGTCTAATTCCCTATATAGCACACCCCTTCTTGACTATTTTTGCTAAGATAAAGCAGGCAAGCTATCTCAGACTTGCAATTTTGATTCATCTTTCTTGAATATGGGTGACCAGAGCTGTACCTGGTATTCCAGATTAAGTTTTACTAATGCTTTGTACAAGAGCACTCATACTCCCCTACCCCTACAAAAAAAAAGGAAAAAACTGAAACAAACTGCCCCTCACCCCGAGCT